TGGCCGCCAGTTACATCCAGCAACCAGGCATATCACACTCCCTCAGGCCTTGTCCCTCTCTGAATGCCTTTGCTCTCTCTCTCTCTCTCTCTCTCTCTCCCCCTCTCTCTCTCTCTCTCTCTCTCTCTCTCTCACACACACACACACACACACACACACACACTCTTACCAGCTTTGGCGCCTGGCGCCGTTGATGGCTACTACCCTCTCTCGTTTCGCTATGTCTCATCTGTAGGTAGGTCGAACAATAACGCAGCAGTGCTTCCATGTTTACATGAATGACCCAAAAATGTTGATGTAAGCTGCAACTTGACTTTCGTTCTTGCCGTAGCCCAAAATTAGACTTGCCCCGTTGGTCCCTGTTGACTTGGCCACGGCCAGCAATGATTTGGACGCTCCTGGACCTGAGCTGTGACTGACCCAGGACAGACAGGCGTAACTGATTGACTCTCCTGACTTCTCCTGCCGCTAGCCTGCTAGTTTCTAGACGGCCTACATACGGTACCTACCGGGAACTTCTTCTAGGGGGCCTACCGATGATACAAGGGAATGTGGAATGCGGTACCACGACCGGACTCTGAGAGGCATGTATCCTTTCACTCCCACCGTCCTAATGTCGAGCTCCTCCTAGAAAACTTACTCTTTTATCTATCAAATTCATGTACTCCCCTACGTGCTTGCTCCTAATGTGAGGCAATGTGGGGCGCAGAACTGCGGAGTTACTCTTTGGGGAACCACCTATTGTCTTCCAGCTCTTGGTACTGTCATCTGACTCTTTGCCCTTGACTGGGTTGTACTTTTCTATTGGTGTGAAGCACAGCTTGATCCGCCATTTTATCAGTGTCATAGTTACCATCCATGTCAGGAGGGATCATTGAGTGGCGTGAAGGGAAGGACTTTCCCGAGTCGACAGGCAACAGCTTTGAGGCCTGGAAGACTGGATAAGCGTCTAGAGGTGGAGGAATGTCTACTGTGTAGGACAGTCCGTTAGCGTCTCCCTTGACATCTAGGACGTCCCACAGCTCTCTGTAAGCCAGTTGCAGTTACTGAGAAATCCTTTCTTTCGACACACTCATTACACTTCACCCATTTCTGCAGGTCTTTCTCATACTTCAGTGCAAATTCACATGTCGGGTGGTAATCTTTGAACCTGATCCAGATCCACACAGTCTATAGGTCGCCGTGGCTTCCCTTGCGCAGCTCGTTAGGCGTCCTATTTGTTGACAGATGTACCGAGTTATTATATGCCCTGGGTACTTTTGGCGGTATTCGGCCCAGTCTATCTGATTGGGTCTAATGTACATGTGCAGCATTTGCTGTTGCAACTTATTTACCTGTGTTGTTTCACCATTTAGTCTCAGGGTGTCTACCTGATAACACTGTCAACAGTGATCTGTACATTTTCGTGAGTTGGTGCTGCCACTGCTTCCCCGTAAACCTGACACAAATAAATATAGTCAAGGGGTGGCCGTTATCCTTGACCCAGTGCGCAAAGAACTTTGCAGATTACTAAGTCTGTTGTAGATTCTGCTGGCAATGGAAAAGATTCTGCATATTTGCTAAAGATGTCTACTATGATCATGACTTGACTATTCCCATTCCGGCTATGGATTTAGATTCAGGGCCACAGGGGATAGGCAGTGGCCTTAGTAGTCCTAATGGGGCTTGGGTCGTACGCATACTAAAAATGATTAGAGTCTCCATCAGAGAAAGCGGTACTTAACCAGTGGGCTTGCCCATAAATCACACAGAACAGAAGGCAGATGGGGGACTTCTTTTCCACATTGATTTGATTCATTACTGGATATAAGATGACACCAAAACAAACAAAGCACGTACATATTTGATGATTATTAAAACAAACACTCTCAAAAAAAGAAAAAGAAAATTTTGTGCTACTTCATGGTGAATATAGTCTGCTAGAATTCCCTCTAGATTGGGAATAACACATTTGGGTAATTAGCTCAGCTGGTAGAGTGCCTCGTTTACACCGAGGGAGCCAGCTCAGTTGGTAGAGTGCCTCGTTTACACCGAGAGAGCCAGCGGTTCAAGTCCATTATTACCCAGATGGGAAAATAGCTTAGCTGGTTAGAGTGCTGGTCTGTCACGCCAGAAGTCACGGGTTCAAATCCTGTTTTTCCCAGGAGGTATGGCTGAGTGGCTGAAGGCATTGGTTTGCTAAATCAACATACAACAAGATTGTATCATGGGTTCAAATCCCGTTGGGGGCACAAGTTTCCATATGTGTCCTGTGATTCCCCTAAAAGATCACACTCTTGACTTCTTCACTAGCGAGGGTACACTTTATTCACCACTGGCTCTGAGGAAAGTAATCCATCCGCTATCCTATACGCAGGCCATTCATGTGGTTTCTTGTTTGCTTGTGCTATGACCCTGTTATAGATAGAGTCTACTCCGTAGGCTTTTCTAATCTTTTGCTGTAGGTCCTTCACTGTGTCTATGTAGCTGGTAATCATTATAAAGAATTCTGCTCTTCTGGATAGTGTGTCACTGGCGAGGATGTACTTCCTTTTTACTGGTTTCATTTTGAAGTCAAACTCATCTCTCTCTCTCTCTCTCTCTCTCTCTCTCTCTCTCTCTCTCTCTCTCTCTCTCTCTCTCTCTCTCTCTCTCTCTCTCTTTCCCCCTCTCTCTCTCTCTTTCCCCCTCTCTCTCCCTCTCCACATCCCTCCCCGTGTGTGTCTGTGTGAGACCGCACCTGCGAGAGCACATGCTCGCCCTTATTCACATTGAAAAACGAAATGTGGCACTTACACAAATTGAGAAACATAAGAAAACGGAATGCACTCTCTATATCATCCCCAGACAAGGGTGCAAGAAGGGAGGGAAGATGGAGGGCCGAGGAATAAGGTAACACCAGCGGAGGAAGGTGGGAGGGCTGACGGGCCAGGGGTGAGGGAGGAAGGAGTGAGGGTCGAGACAGGAATGGAGGAGGATGGGCCGAGGGAGGAGGGTTGGTGATGGTGCCTCTGATGCCTCTCTCTCTCTCTCTCTCTCTCTCTCTCTCTCTAGCCTGAAACCCTTGCCCGCAGTGACCTCCATCCCCCCATTATCTGCCTCCTCCCCAAAAAAGAGAAGAATGCAAGGCTTCTTTTTATTATCTTTCAAGAGGGGGTGGTGTGGGTTGAGGTGAGGTAAAAACACTCACTCGAGTCAGCCATGTTGGGGAAGCCTCCAACAACGTAGCACGAATCCACGTCGAAGCTCACGTCAGAGTACTTAGCAGGAACTCATGATCCATACACGAACCACCGATCCACGAAGCACCAATTCACGGAAGCACCAACTCACAAAGTATGAAGCACCAAAGCACTAAGCACGGAGCACAGAGCACCAAGTAGCATGGACCACTGATTCACGAACCATGAAGCGAGAAGCACCCCGAAGCAAGAAGCACCATGCCCCGAATCCACCACGCACCCACGATGCACCAAGCACCGAATCCACAATGCACCAAGCACCGAATTCACAAAGCACCAAGCACCGAATTCACGAAGCACCAAGCACCATGCACCGAATCCACGCAGTAGCAAGGACGAAGCATGAAGCATGAAGCACATAATCACCGATGCTCCAAGTGCGTAGCCCGAATCCGCGGAAGCACCAAGCACATAGCACACCGAATTCACGACGCAATTCGCGAAGCACCAAGCTCCTAGTTCACGATGGCACCAAGCACCAAATTCAGGTAGAATACCGAAGCACGTACCACAAAGCACCGAGGCACAGACCACG